GTTTTTGTGTTTGAGGTTTCTTCCATAGAGGAGTGTGTATTCTTCAGTAGAGGAATTTTCTAATTTCCAGTTGTGGAGCTTCTTAGTTTAGCTTAATAAGTTGTTTGTGGGTAAGTTGTGCGCTATCTATAGCTTCTAGGCGATCTTTGGATCTGTCCTCCCGCTAGATTCGACTCAAGAGCTGATTTATTCAGCTGTCGGGTTGTTCTCTAGTTGTAATTATGTGTTTTTCTTTCATAAAATTTCTATCGTTCCGACAAAAAAAATGGATTGGTCTTATGAAAATCAATAAATTACGAGTTTACAATTATGAAAATTGGATTTTAAAAGCCAACTAACAAATAGTTATAAAAAAATAGATATTTATTAATTTGCTTGACTACTCATTAGATATTTGTTCATATCCTACGGTTAAATTTTCGCAAATACAGCTGTTAAATTTTCGTACAGTACAAGAAAATGATGAAATTTCAACAGAAATATATTCCAATAGAATTCCAACGGCAATTCCAATGAATATTTCAATGCTATTATTTCCGTTGGAATTATTCCAACGAAAATTCCAACAAAAATATTCCGTTGGAATGAGTTTTCTATTAGAATTTCCGTTGTATTTTGATGATTCCAACGGTAGATTTTTCAACGGTGGTGGAAATAAAAATTCCAACGGAAATTGTATATTCCAATGGAAATTCCTACGGTCAAAAACCGTTGGAAATATAGCCGTTGGAATCATCAAATTCCATCTAAAATTCCAATGAAAATATATTCCAACGGAATATTTTCGTTGGAATCATTCCAACGGAAGCTATACCATTGGAATATCCGTTAGAATTTCTATTGGAATATATTGCTATAGAATTTTCCGTTGGAATATAACATTTTTTTTTTGTAGTGGTAAGACCTATTTTGTTAGAAAACTTAGCCCATGATTTTCCGTATTTCCCGACCAAAAACTGTACATTTTGATCATCGAAAATATAAAAACAAAGTTTTTCTAATGCACATTTGTTTACTTTTTTCGTTTCATCTTGAGCTTTAAAAGCCCAAAATTCGTTTCTAATTTCGATATAAAATTCATGGTTAGTTGAGTTGATTTTATTTGATTTGTCATTTTGAGTTATAAATTTGAGGAGACAAATTGCCAATTTTGTTAAATATTTGAGACAACTACTCTAAAACTTCATATGGCAAGGAGACAAATTATTAATTTTGTTAAATATTGGAGAAAACTACTCTAAAACTACATATGACAAGTTATAGAAAATAGTATAATTCGGAGGTCACTTTTTTCCATATATAAATATCTATACAATTAGATATTACAATGTTGAAAATTTGGTATAAAGTACCTGTTTAGCATTATTTTAATTAATATTAGTCTCAAAATATATGTACTCATGTATGGAGGTTGGCAAAATTGAGCTGAAATAAATAAATCGAGTTGAACCGTGCAATTCAGTGTAGTTCTACTCCTTATAATTTTAATGTGAAAAATATTCAATTCTATTTCGATTTGATGTTTTACTTCACTGCGGTATTGTTCAGTTATGATTTTTTGTAACTCAATTTTTATTTTTTTTTCAGTTCGGTTCGGTTCAGTTATGTCCGGTCATTTAAGTGTAAAAAATTTTGGTTGGTTTCATTTCGATTTTCTTCTAAGTTGTGGTACATTCGATTATTTTTTGGGAGGTCCGATTTTTTTTTTCGTGCGGTTTGATGCGGGCATCGAACCGCAGTGTGCCTACCCCTACTCTTACTCCTATCACAAGTAGCAAAAAAAAGGGTTCTGCCAGTGGTCTCTTTTGACCGCTCGGCCCATCCCTGACATCGCGCGTCTCCGATGTTGCTGCGGTGGGTCTGCTGCGATTGGTGGTTTGGCCTCGGTTGTCGGCGGGTCCGCGATTGGTGGTGGTTTGCCTCTCGGTATGTGATTGGTCTGCGAATGGTGGTATGCCCATCGATCCGCAATTGGTCTGCGATTGGAGGTTTCCCCTAGGTCGTCTTAGCCTTCTCTAGTGGGGATTTTTTACTCTGGTTGCCTGCGGTCTTCGGTGGTGTAGTGAGGTGTTTGGGTCAGCGGATGGGGCGGGGCTCTGCGGCTGCAATGTATGTGTCGGGAAAGTCGAAGTTGTGGAAGCAAACCGCTCTCACCCCCGCAGTTCTCGGGTGTTGGGGGCAGCGGGGGGTCTGGAGCTTCCGAGCTTGGCTAGTGGTGTTAGACGAGTTCGGGCAGTGCTGGAGAGGGGAGCTGGTTTCGTTTGTTCTCTCGGTTGGAGGCGGGCCGATTCGGTGTTAGGTTCAGGGTTCGAATTAGCTTCTATATAGGCGATTCGGCAATTTCGCAAGCGATTCATCGGGCTTGGGATCTTTCTTGGAGTCGACCGGTTCTATGCTCGTTTGGCCCGTTCGTTTTGTTGGGGAAGGGCTTTGCCTGTTGCTTATTTAGTTTTGTTTTTGTCGTTTTGTGTTGTTTTGTTCTTGTGTCACTTAGGATTTGTATTTTTTATTTGAGCCGTTGGCCTTTGTGAACCTGTGTGTGCGATGGTATTATCCCTTTGGGATCGTATCTATTCTTCTATTGGGAGCTTTGTAGTTTGTTAGTGTGTTTGGTGTCTGTCGTGACGTGAATCGTGTCTTTGGTTTCTAGCGTGGCTAGCATTGTTAGTTTCGGCTTTAGGCGGTCTTCTGACCTGTCCTCCCAGTTTATTCAGTTGTTGGTTGTATTATTCAGCTAGGGGCTGTATCTTTGCACTTTTGTGCATTTTGATCTATAAAAATCTCTATCGTTCCAAAAAAAAAAAAAAGTTAAACTCAACTAGTGCATATCCCGTACAATGCACGAAAAAGTGTTAACACAAAATTCTTTGCATGAGTCTACTATTACCTACGTGGAGCTTATTACATGCTGCTTTATTGGATCATGCATTCATTCCTTTTATTATTTTTGTCCTCTACATGGAAGGGTGTTTTGGTCTTTAGCCTATAGTTCTAGGTTTAACATGACAATCATATTTAAGGTAGTCTTGTCTCAATATAAGGTGACACAATTTTGTAGCCACACATTGTTTTCTTGTTCTTCGAGTTATCACATAAAGATGTGTTCTTTGTTCAATCTCCTCTATCAAAAAGTAATATTAAAGTTATTTTTTAAAGTTAAATGTTGGACTAAACAAACATATTAAGGTCATTCTTTGAAGTAAAATGTTGGACTAAATGATTATATTAACTTATTTTTTGATAATGAAATATTGGACTAAACGAATATATTAAGCAGTTGAATAAATCAAATACTGATTTTAAGGTGATTTTGTACGTATCCTTTCAAGATATACACACAATATAATGGTATGTATATTTCTTTTAGATCACACACAAATTTAAAAGTATTCTCTAATTTTAATATCTCATTCATTTGTCGATTTATTAATTGCCTTAAATCTTAAAGATATAATTTAGATATAATTTAATTATAAGTTAGATCAAATTAATGAAAAAATATATTAATAATATTTTATAATTCAAATTTCTTAATCATCTCTTCAGAATACTAAATTTAAATTAATTTCAAATGTTAATGTATCTCAAAAAAGCAAGTGGTTGTCTGCATCTGTTTTATAAATTTGTTAGATAATAAAGTAATAAATATTGTACAATTCTGATATAATCTTTCGAAGTACATATCTTGTTCTTCTTTACCTCAATTTTCACTTAAAAAATTATGTACACGGATTATCATAGAAGGCTAAATGATTGTACAGATTAATCAAAATCAAAATATGTGAACGTTAAACATAAAGACATGACGCACATACATAGAAACACAAATTGGAAATTATCATGTTGCACTTTTTCAATGGTAAAAAAAAATGGGTCTACATGAACAACTTAATAATTACCTGCATATGTTACAGGTTTCTAAATAAAAAATTAAAAAACAACCTTCACGTTCGCATGGAATTAAACAAATTGATCATTTACGTATATATGTTGTGAATTTACAAAAAAATGACATATATATTTACGTATATGGTGTACATTATATCTATTATATTCACAGATGTGCTGTGAATTTAAAAAAAATGACACATATATTAACGTATATGGTGTACATTATATCTATTATATTCACAGATGTGCTGCAAATTTTGTTATCACATTTTAAATTTAAAATTATTATCAGTTAATATAAGATTTTGAATTATGAGTTACTTTTTTTAATTTATTTATCAAATTTTAAAGTCGATAAAACAAAAAATATTTTGGAATTCTTATATTTAGTAAAATAAAAAATTTTAGCTGTATTTTTTCTCATTATTTAAGGTGAATATTTATTCCCTTTTTATATTAATAGATATAGATATAAATTCATTTATAGGTGCATGGGTATCCTTTTTTTTTATTAAAAAAATCAAAGCATAACATTTTCAATATGGTATATAAATGATGCGATTCAATGAAATACATTAATTTATTAAAGAAATGTTCCACCATTTTTTTAGCTATAAAGGTCTAAATTTGTCCAAATATTTGAAATTTTAATGGTTCAAGCTTTAGGTTTTTTAAGAAATAAATCATTAATAGTTTTATCAATTGATGAATGTAATTACATAGTTTAAATAAAGACAGTCAAATTTTTTAAAACCTGATAATTATTTCTATTAAGAGATAAACACAAATTAGGATGAAGGATTTTCAACATATTAAGAAGTTTAAAATCAAAAAAATGGAAAAGAAATTAAAAGAATAATAGTAAGATGATATAAAAATTATAAAATTATAAAAAGAATATAGAAAGTCTGATAATGGTAAAGACTCACAAGTTACGTATTTGGAAATTTGTAATTAATGATATTGAAATTAAATTATAAAACTTTTTTAAAAAATTAAACAATGTTTTTTAATTAAAAAAGGATATTTAATCAATTTTAAAATACTATCCAAAATAAGAAAAAGAAAATCTATATTCCCAAAATATCTTAATGGAATAAAAATACTTTAACTAATTTTTAACTAACTCTTATGAGGAAGGAAATAAAATTTATACTTATTTTAATTTAAAATTTCAAAATTTAAATTATTTTAGAAATTTTCAAATTTATTGAATTTAAAATTTTTAGATGTGATTTAACATACTAATTTAAGTAAATCTTTGGCCCTATTATATAATAATAGATTTAAATTATGATTGATGTATAAAAATCTACATCCTATTATATAATAATAGATTTAAATTATGAGTGATGTATAAAAATCTACATCCTCCATTACGCTTCATCTGGATGGGTTACTTTAGGGTGTGTTTGTATATGAAAAAATCCACTCCATACTCAATTAATATTCAACTAGTGCAATACTTGTGTATTACACGGGTGTTGAATTAGAAAGTTTTTGTAAAAAAATATTAAATTTTTTATTTTTTTAAAAACTAAAATAATTTAATTTTATATAAAGCATTACTTTGGTTTTAATTAAATTGTCAAATTATATTTTTTTAATCATATAAGTAAACACATGTACATTAAATGAAAATGTCAACCCATGTTGAATTTGTTTACTTATATCATATAATAATATCGATATTATTTACTATTACATAAGTACAAGAATATATATCTTAAGTAAATAGAAATATTATGGTGATATGTATATGCATAAGTGTAGAATATGTTTATTTAATATTAAGCAAAATATTAATTGATAAATAATTTTATTTTCTCTTTAATTTTAATAAATAATTTAATTATTATTATAAAGATAAATATAATTTTAGAAAATAATATTAAAATACAAGTAATACAAATATTAATAAATAATTTTATTACTATTATAAATATAAATATAATTTATTTATTTTATATATACAATATGGATGTCAAATCGAAGCTCATCAAAAGATGATTAATTTGATATATTATATATGTAAAATCCATAAGAAATACAAAAGTTATCAACTTTTAAAATATATTTGCAATTCAATGGTTATAATGGAAAATGATATTAAAATATAATTAATACAAATATTAATTTATATCCAAGTCTAACTCGAAAGTATGATTTTTTGCCAAATAGGATTTCGAAGCATGAGAATTTGTCACGTAGGCTCATCGCATTCTGAATTTATAATTTAGCAAAATACTAATTGATAAATAATTTTATTTTCTAATTAATTTTAATAAATAATTTTATTATTATTATAAAGATAAATATAATTTAATTATTTTATATATACAATATGGATATGAAAATGTCAACCCGTGTTGAATTTTTTACTTATATCATAATAATATCAATATTATTTACGATTACATAAGTACAAAAATATATATCTTAAGTAAATAGAAATATTATGGTGATATGTATATTCGTAAGTGTAGAATATGTTTATTTAATATTAGCAAAATATTAATTGATAAATAATTTTATTTTCTAATGAATTTTAATAAATAATATTATTATTATTATAAAGATAAATATAATTTATTTATTTTATGTATACAATATGGATGTCAAATCGAAGCTAATCAAAAGATGATTAATTTGATATATTATATATGTAAAATCGATAAGAAATATAAAAGTTATCAACTTTTAAAATATATTTGCAATTCAATGGTTATAATAGGAAATAATATTAAAATACAATTAATACAAATATTAATTTATATCCAAGCCTAACTCCAAAGCATGATTTTTTGGCAAATAAGATTCAAAAGCATGAGAATTTGTCACGTAGGCTCAACGCATTCTGAAATTATATATAGAGCGGATATCTAACTCAATTTTTATCCTCAATATTATCAATATAATTAAATAATATCAACTAATCATTCTTACACATTACATCAACTTTAATTTACTATTCATCCTCTTACATAATTTTAACTAACCATCACTTCACATCATATGTTTCCTACTTTTACATCAAATCAACTTTAATTATTTTATTTTTAAATATTATTTTAAAATAAAATTAAAACTCCACTAACAACTAATCATACTATTTTTCTTAAAATTAACTATGGTTAACTAAAAAAACTTAAGAACGGATTTTTTTTTATACAAACACGCTCTAAGTCTTGCATAATAATGATCATTTTTAAAAAACTGAGAACCAGATTCACTGAACCTGGTCGTATGGCTAGATTTTACTTTGATTATCCTCATCAGTTAA